TTCTTTTATGAAAAAATTTGTAAAGATGTAAATATATTAGGTAAATATATAGCAGCTACTAACGATTCACCACCATCGCGTTGCTCCTGTAGAAGGACCACCATACCCGAGAGCTAGAGCCTTATTAAGCGGTTAAAAAAAAAAAGAAAAAGATACGCAACCTCGGAGTTTTATTATTTGTCATAAAGATTTCGCAGAGGTTAAAATATTGGAATTAGGTTACTATCTGGATATATGGAAAGGACTCTATTTGTAAAGATTATGCCAAAATCCAACACAATAAGCTATAAAAAAAAAACAAGCAAGACTATAGACTTATACTATTGACAATGACATTTATAATATATTTAAAACAAAAGGTCTACAATAAAATCATACAGAGAACAATCTATGAGTATAGGCAGCATGGGTCTTATTAGATTTTAAATCAAGATATGGTATAATGGTAAATATGATGGAATAACGCACTGAAACACAGACAGGAGAACTGGCTCCTTTGGCAGGCACGTTCAGCAGTGTATGTTGGCCAGTAATTATTAGAAGACTTGATTATTAGTAACATTCCCTCCAAATAGATAAAAAATCATACTATATTTCGTTTTAAAGAGTGAAAGAAGGACAAATTCTTCACATAAAAGTACAAACATTACTAAAACCTGACAGATAGATACCCTCAAGGTGGCCCTAATAAAGTCGTATTTTGCAACTGTTGCTGTGTCAATATATCACAGCAAAGATATAGTACACAACTCTATTCCAACAGAGTCGGTAGTTCTATATTTAGTACAATTTGTGAAAATAAGGTGTGGGGGTAGTACCATAAAACAGAAGAGTGAAAAATGTATGAGGGGAACAAAACTCTCCAAATAAGTTGTATATTAGATATTTATTCGGATTAGGCAAAATTTTGGGGACATTTCATACTGGCGAGACATGCTATTTACATAATGATCTAGGTAGAGGTGACATAAGGTTACAAATTCGTCTTTATAAAGGGGAGAACCTAGATCTCCATCTATTCTAGCGGGACAAAATATACGAACTCTAACATTCCTTTTAAGTCACTTAAAGCCCTTTAGGGCCCATTCAGAATCTAAATAGATTAGCTTCTGTTCGAAAAATAAAGGGGGGCTAAACCATAATGGCGAGGGGCTTACCTTCTCTCGAAAGCGGCGGCAAGGTCTGGTCTCCTCTACGTCTCAGGCCCGACTGGCGGAATCTCTCCAGTCACTGAGCGACTCTGTGTATCTCTCCGATTTAGCCAAGAAAACCTCCTTTTATCCTTGCCTCCCTTCATTTTCATTCGCTCCTCACGCCAAAGTTTCTATTGGCTGGCATTTTCATTCGTCGAAAAGCCAACACGCACGTGATCATGGCCACGCCTTCAATTTACCGTGTTGCCGCGCGAAAAAAAAATTGTATATTGAAAAACAAATTAATTCCTTTAGGAAATTAAATAATATATATATCCCGAGTAAAAAAAAAAAAAGGTTATTGATTTAAATGTTTATATGACAAATTGTTTTCCTTTGGTCACCTCTAACTATAATGAGGGGGATATATGTACATATGGTACAGCAGCTCCCAGCACTGATGTCTCTGGATGTCACCCGTGTCTTCCTCCCCACCAGGCATCAGCTTTCGGCATGGAAGACTGGTGTCCTCAAGTGTCTAGTTTTTATTTGTACATGTGCTCTTTGTACATCCTTCGTCTCGGCCCTCCTGCAGCGGGCTTTGGGTCTTTATAAAGCATCGTCGGCCATCGTTGGGAGTTCTCCACCTAGGCAACAAACACTTCGGCGAGACACTGCGTATATATTTATATGATGTAAATGTTTACATCTTTGTTGGGTCTTGTCTGGTGGAAAATCTGACCCAACAAAGAAATGAAAAAAGTAATTTATTATTTCTTTAAATAATAAATTAATAATTTAATTTTATCATTTGGGAAAATAAAATTGAATCAAATTCATAGTTAGGGAAATAAATAAAGTGCCCTTTTAATATTCTGGCTTTAAATATTCAGTGTTAAAATAATATTATTATTTAAAATAATAATAAAAATAATATTTAAAATTAAAATAATAAATTTAAATCTATTGAAATGAATAGAATTAGCCTTTGCCTTACACAATCTGATAGTAATATAGGAATAATGAATTATCCTATTTAATTCTTAATGAACCCTATAGTCCTGTAGCATAAAATATTAAGGAAATAGAGCAGGAGTTTATGTACAAAATTGAATTGTGACATTTTTACATATGTACATAGTCGCCAGCTCCAGGGGATCTCGTGGCTGCTTCCTCAGCTCTGCTAGTGGACTTTTAGGGTACTCCAGCTGCGTTAGATTCTCCTTCTGGACAGCAAAAACTTCGGAAAGGTTACTGTGCATATTATATATGATGTTTACATCATTGTTGGGTTTGTTATGGTAAAATCGACCCAACAATAGTTATTTTAAAAACAACAACAACGTAAAAGAATAAAATTTCACGATTTTAACAAATGGACCTTTGTTTTGAAGAGCAAGATATTATTGAACCTATACAATTTTCTAATAGGCATCACCTATTGTTACAGTTTTAAAAAAATTTGGAACAATAAGAATTTGTCATGACTGCAAAACAACTGTTAATCTTCATTAACCCTGATAAAAATCCATAGCCAACAAATCAATAACATTTGGACAGGTTAAGAGATGGTAAGGTAATCACTAAATTGGATATGGCCTAAGCATATCAACAATTAAATGTGGATGATGGATTTTTTGAAATACTTACCAATAATACAATAAGGGATTGCATAAGCTTCCTATTGGATTAAATTCAGCCTTGGGAACCTTCCAGATTAAAGTGGAGAAATTTTAACATTTTTAGTTACTGCTGAAGAGACGAGAAAACTTTTTCTGAAATTACAAATACAACTTGTAAAATATCCTGCGCGCACTGGGGTAAAAATTAATTGACTCTAAACTAAATTAATGACTCAGAGTCAAAGTTGAGATTCAGAACAAATTATTATATTTATTTATCTAATTGAAATGGTCACAGACAGATAAGAAAGAAAGAAAGAAAGAAAAATAAGTAAAACTGGCAATAAGAATCTCTTCTTCTTTCTTATCTCCACACTGGGTGAAGTAAAATGCGTCTGCCTTATAAATTGGGAAAATATGCATAAATATAACTGTTTAAAAATATATTATGAAAAGTTACTTATCTTATTTGGTGCTTCAGTTGAATGTTGGAAAATTTCTTCCACTAAAATCTTGAAAGACTACATTTTTGGACTAATTTCTCAGGAGCTCTGTTTGAACTCCCCACTGCTATCGCTGCCTAGTCTACACTATCTTCCTCCCTTATTTTTCTTATCGCCTACCTCAAAGATTCCGTCAAAAAATTTTAACAGAGTAAAAAAAATAAATTTTCTATAATATTCCAAATTTTAAAATAAAATATTAGAAAATTAAAAATTATAATTAAAAGTTATTTTTCAAAATATTTTAATTAAATAATATTATATGAAAATATTAAAACAAAAATAGCTGATTATTTATTTTAAAAAAAGGAAATTTATTATAGTAAATTATATACATAAAAATTAAGTAGTAAAAGAAGGTAAAGAGATGGGCTGGTTAGACAATGAAGAATTCTTGATGTCCGTTTCGTTCTTGTCGAGGCAGCTTCACCATTATCCACCATCTTTCTATTAGGAACAGTGGGTGAGCTTTGTGGAGGCAGAAGAGGACTCCACACTGCTAGCTTTGAAGCTAGATCTCTACATGCCCTCATAATTCTGGCGACAGCGGCTAGAGAAAATCAGGCCACAAATTTATAAATCTATGGCACTAGATAACCTAAAGTATAGACCTAAAGGTGTACTGGATAGCTCTAGACCACAATCACCTATCTATCCCACCTACCTCTAGATCTAGCAAACCAAGTCCATTATTGGAAAATAGCGGCCAAGGCCGCAGACAGGCCAGCTGCCTGCACTTTCAGCAATTCCCTGTGCTTAGATTTCAGGGAAAAAATCTAATGTAAATATACCTCTTTCTTGCCCCAGTGTTGCTAGGCTCACATCTCCCCCCTCCAAGGCTATCACACCTCTCTTTCTGTGAAAACAAAAAGTTTCTTTAAAAATAATAAAAAATATTGAAGAAAAATCCATCAAAAAATAAATAAGGTGTAGAAAATATTTAATTAAAAAAATAATGTCAAAAATATACAATTAGCATTGTGTGGTATGGGCATCTTGGGGTCAGCCTGGGAAAGGTTGAGGACTCGTGATAGAGCTGGTGTTTTGCCTGAGATGGTGATTTTAACACCCACCATGGGTCAATGGCTTACCCATAGGCATGCTGGAGTCTGGCTTGGTACTGGTGGAGTCAAGTCAACCACCAAGGTCAGGTAGCTCGACCACAGGGAAGGGACATCTGAGTCCATTTTGGACTCTGGCTTGGGTTCAAGTCAGCCAACATGGGACACTGGCTCCGTACACAGGAAAGGATGTCCGAGTCCATCTCAGAATTAGCTTGGTGTTGGTGGGTCAGGTGGCTTGACCACAGAGAAAAGCATCTGAGTCCATCTTGGACTCTGGCTTGGTGGGGCCAGGTCAGCCTCCATTGGTCAGGTGGCTTGACCACGGGGATCTCAGTCTCTGACTCAGTGCTGTCAAGGAAAAGGCGGCTTCAGGTTCCATCTCTACACCTCACAATCACTAGAGGTCTCCATCTTAGATGGGGAAAAGTGGGGCATGGTTCTCTGTGCTTTGTGGCATATAGTGGTCATGATGTGTCCCAACAATATCCTCCCTGCCAGAACAATTTTTTTACATAAAAAGAGAAATTATTTCCAACACCAAGTGACAAGGTGAGAAAAATTAATACCATAAAAAATATACATATTATATAATATAATTGCCTTATTCTGTCTGTGTGAAGTTCACGGATAGATTTTGGTCACGTGTCAAGTTACGGTAAGTAAAAATTTAAAAAAAGATGCCGAAACCCGGGATCGAACCAGAGACCTTTAGATCTTCAGTCTAACGCTCTCCCAACTGAGCTATTTCGGCTTATTTTAGTTATTTCTATAGAAGCTTCTATCTTTATAATCTACTTATATAATTGCCTTACTCTGTCTGTGTGAAGTTCATGGATAGATTTTGGTCATGTGTCAAGTTACAGTAAGTAAAAATTAAAAAAAGATGCCGAAACCCGGGATCGAACCAGGGACCTTTAGATCTTCAGTCTAACGCTCTCCCAACTGAGCTATTTTGGCTTATTTTAGTTATTTCTATAGAAGCTTCTATCTTTATAATCTACTTATATTTATATTAATATATATTATATTATATTATAATATATATAATTTCCTTATTCTGTCTGTGTGAAGTTCACGGATAGATTTTGGTCAGAATGGATAAAATAAAAAAGTGTCAAGGGATGGGAATCGAACCCACGACCTTCCGCTTACCGGGCAGATGCCATGACCACTAGGCTACCCTGGACATATTTTTCTGTTCACATTTTTATTTTTATATTTTCAAGACACACACAGTTTGGGGCGGGACGTTTTACAAGAGAGACATCCACAGCGCCAATTTATAATTGTAACCAATAGTATTTTAATTGAAACATTTTAAAAACACACAGTTTGGAACGGGACATTTCACAAGAGTGACATCCATGGCGCCAATTTATAAATGTAACAAATAGTATTTGAATTAAAACGTTTTTAAAATATATACGCACTCGGGTAAAACCCGGGCGTTGCCCGGGCCATTCGTCTAGTTAAAAATAATTCCTCAAAAAAAATACTGTGTGAATCTATGAACAAATATCAAGGGCTATCATTCAAATACACCCTGGGTGCTAGAGTGACGTGTTAAAAGAAAAAAAATATCCACAAAAAAATATATCTAAAAACACATATACAGTAAAACCCCTCTATAGTGAACTACAATGGGACAGAGCCTTTGGCATTTTTTTTTTTTACTTTTCAAAAATTTTATACCATATAATTATAACAGCCATACACACAAGAAGAGGCTGCCTCTTAATAGTGGCCACTTTGTTTAATTCCCTTAATTGAACAATTTCCTTACATCAATACTGAATAATAATAGAAATTATTAGATGTTAGGTTCTTCTTATCATTAACATACATGTTGTACCTCTATGTCTAATTTAAAAATCAAGACAAATCCTAAGTTTTATTGAATATATATTTAAAGATATAAAATGATTTTAAAACATCTTTATCACATTATATTATTCAATGTTTACTTGGAAAAATAGCTCTAACACCATGTTGCTTCAAAGCACTCTTCAAGCATTGTACCTTTCGAATAAAGTTGGTGTTTTTATTCACATTTCATGTTTCCACATATTATTCTAAGTCTATATTTCGTTTTTTTTAACCTGTCATGCAAAACACTTCTGGCTTTAAAATCACCATAGTTCATGCAATAAAAATATTTTTTGTTTCATCACAGGCCTTTTTATTTAAACTTTTTTTTTTAGCCCTAACACTCGCGAACGTGGCAAAGGTTGAGCTTGATTCCTCTTTGTAACAATTTTTAATGACCTTATATTTTATGTATTATAATAGAAAAGTTATATTCTCTTATTTTAATATGTTCTTAACATTTTGCCTGTGTTGTTTCACTTTGAAAAGTTCTGAAAATGGCGTTTTTTTTTTAAGGAATAACGTTTTTGTTTTTAGAATGCTTTTGTTTTCTTTATTTTAGAAGCCAATTGCATTTCTATTTCAAATTTAATGGATGCAAAGATATTCTATTCAATAAAAAGTATAATGTCTAAAACTTTATACAACATACAGCAAAAATAAAATGTAAATTAAAACAAACAATACCGCTAAATTTATTGTTTTGAAATCGCGATCCATGAGCTGAAACATGTTTAATATTTTGTTGTTTTAAATCTTTTTTTTTTTTAAATTACAATTCTAAGTTATTTATAAGCATAGTATTTTGAATAGGTTTTATTATTTTGGGACTGAAAATAGGTTTGTTATAGGAGTAGTTCATTATTTTAAAAATCGCAAAGTTCGTTATAACAATGGTATTTTCAATGGAATGAAATTGGGAATCGCCTTAGGTTCGTTATAAGGGAAGGGAAGGTTCATTATATCCAGGGTTCATATTAGCGGGGTTTTACTGTATATCCCAAATTTTCTAAATTTTAGAGTATACAAATATGCATGCATATCATTCAATAAATTTCAATTTCCTTTTCAAATAATAGTAATTATCCAAAATTTATATCCTATTTTTCATAATAACACAACCAAAAATAGTTCTGAAATACACAAAGGTATCAGGGATGCAAAGACCAAATTACAAATCTAGTGTGCTTCATTACTAACATTTACTTGAGTAATTCAGAATCAGTAACCTTGACACTAATATCCTATGCACAACTCATTTTTGTAAAATTAATTGAACCAATTTTGATTAAAATATTGAACCGAAACTCTTTCGCAAAAAGTTCTTTAATACTGGTTGTGTGTCATCTTAAATTACCTGATACCTCTAAAGGCCACACATAAAGGAAAACTCCCTTTTTTAATAAAAAAATTTTATTTTTGACTCATACTTTAGATTGTTGTATTTGAAGAAAATTAAGTATGTTACACTAGTAAACTGAATGCAACAAGCTCATCATCCCATTACATGGGGATCTAATAAGACTGACATACTCAATCTAAATAACATGTTTTAGATTTTAATTATTTCTTAACTTACTAATCTACTATGGTTCCAATCCTTCCAAGCTATTTTTTTGATGATTCCACATTAGTACTTACTACTAGAAACTATCCCAACATGGAAAAAGATAATCTTGTCATAAAATAATACCATCCTTGCCATTATACTTTTCTTAGACTTGAATTTTCTTCAGTAAAACATATGGCAGAGCTAGTTCTTTATTGATACACCTTTGACAACCTTGGTGAACTTCAACTGAACAGTTCGGACTGTCAAATTCTCTTAAGCGCTTAGTTAATCTATAGCTTACCTAACTAAATATATAGGCAGCATGTTCCTTTGCCTAATAAGCCAGATGTACGACACCCCATTGTACTCCCTTATCTAGTAACGCAGAGCGTCGAAACTATGGAAAACCCCTGGTTACTTGGTATAGTGTCATTGCATTTTTTCAATATTCCTTCATTGTGTGACCTGGCTCATTTATTCCCCCCATTTATCAAACAGTGTATTTATACTTGTTTTCCCTCTTGCGAGGCGAAGAATGGGTGCATGTGGGCATGGTCTTATCTTCTTACCTAAAAATTGAGAAAGAAGACCATCAACCATCAATTCTTATTTCAAGTTATCCCTAGCATGTAGGCTAGCTGAAATCTTCAAGATTATTCCTTATGTGTATGAGGCTTTGTCCCGCTAGATTTCAAATTTTCCTTATAAATTAAAGAAATTAAAATTATACACACTGATGAGAGAAACTAACATTTTGGAACTATTTTCTATCAATTGAGTGTTGTATAGCCCTGCGAGGCTTTTCCGATCCAAACAAATTAAGAAATAAAATCGATCCTATTAAATTTCCTAACACTATTCTAATGTATCTTTGGATTAACAGTATATTTAATTCTATCCTTATTGACAAGCATTGCACCCATTCATACCCCCCCCCCTCCCCTTCCCATTTCACAATTGCTTGTGCATACATACTAAGTTTTACAATCTATTGAGTGCAAACCAAAGTTACTCTTTTCTTAAAATAAAAATATACCTAAAATCAATGACATTTCAGGACTGATCATTTGTGAAATTGAAAACGTTTATTCACATATAAACTTGGGAACTATATGCCCTTTGATAAATTATCCTATGACTGATACAACCTCTTAACTAACCATTTATATTTAAGAAATGGCCAAAAGCGGCCTTATCTGTAAACTAACCTAACATTTAAAAAGTGAAATTCATAGTCCTAAATTATCTTTGCCCCAACACTATATGTCTCGGCAAAGATAATTTAATAATGTAGGATCCGTTTTGGACTCGTATTCAACAATGAGCATTATAAAAGTGTGAATCTGATGAAACAAGGTTCTCGGCGGGATGTTGGATGTGCAGGATACCCTTTGTTTAGATCCCGCAGACCACTAGGGCACATCATGCTGATTTATCCTGTGGCCAGAAGGATAATTCCTGGGACTTGAAGGAGTTTCCAGTAACCTGGTGATTCATCCTACATCCTGAGAACCTCTAATTACCTGAGGAACGACCAATTGCACCATCAGGGCAGAAATATAATCAACACTAGGTTCACCATCCAATTTTATCTTTCTTCTGCGTGCCTTTTTTTTTCCTGTAAATATTATATGTTGGCTTAAGATTAGAAAATAAGAGAAGAAAAAAAAGTTTAGAAAATTGGAAAGTTCAACCTAGGCCAACGAGTGAGTAAAAATTTTTGTATCTTAAAGGAAATTTTCAATGGGGCTTTATGGGTTCTTTTTTTTTTATAATTTGATTTTTTAAAGGATATATATATCATGGCCAACATTTTGGCCATGGTATGATGGCCCAGGTTGAACTTTCCAAGCTCCGCTCTCCCGGTGACTCTTTTCAGACTGACCGCCTATCCTCCCCAAAACACCAGGGTTACTAAATCTTCATAACAAAAAAATAATTTTTTATCAGAACGCCTTCTGTGATAGGTTGAAAAGATTAAAAAATAATATACCTAGGTAAAAAATATATATATACTGAAATAAAAGCTAAAAAATTATATAATTACAAATTAATTAAATAATTCGTGAGTTTACTTAATATAATACATTCTATTTGAGAAAGAATAATTAATTTAAAAATTCTCAGGAATTATAGAAACAATTTGTAGATTTAAAAAAATTAGTTAATAAATAATTTATCTGAATTGTTTAAAAGTTGCTTTTACTATTTAAAAAAAAATTTGCTTTGTTAATCTTAAGCCAACATATAATATTCACAGAAAAAAAAAGGCACGCAGAAGAAAGATAAAATTGGATGGTGAACATGGTGTTGATTTTTTTTTTCTGCCCTGA